GGGCGCCCTGCCCTTAACCTGCATGGATGTGTGGCTTTCCAGGGAGGTAGGTTTGGGGTGCAATGAAGCTCTCAGAGGAAACGACAACAGTCCCAGGGATCATTGTTTCAGCACTCCTGGATTTCAAGGTTCCCGAGCACCGTTGCAAATCCTGCCATGCATGAGGGGCACTGAGCTGTGTGGTGTTCCAGACATGGTGGGCTTTGCAGGCAGCTCAGCACTCAGCCAATCTCAACATTCCCTCCTGAAGCAGAGCTGGGGACACAAGGTGCAAGAGTGACACATGCCCACCCTTGCCTATTGGGGATCCTTGCTGGAGGTGTCTGGCTTGACCTGGGCTGGAGGAAGCCAGGCCTGAGGAGCTGCAGCTCAAACTCACTTTGACACGGATTCCTTGGGTGGCTGATTCATTGCCCTGAGCCTCCCTTTGGTCACATGCCAAACAGGTCATCTTAGGTGAGCCAAAAGGTAAAAAATTCAGCAAAAGCTCATAGAAAGCTTTAAGCATTTTACATGATTACGTCTATTTCTAATGGACAATATGCATTGCAGGACATTCCGACAGTCATATTCACCAGGAGCTGAAAGGACTCCCCTAAAGGAGGGATGTGTCAGGAATTTGAGCCTCCATGGGGAACGCTTCCTCTCCATGTGTAGAGAATTTATTCTGGAAGAGGGGTTTGGGATTTTACCTCCTGACACCAGGTCTCTGGGAACCAGCTGGGTGTCCCACAACTCAGGTCAACACTGACATGAACTCCCCAGACTCAGCACAAGACCCAGGGTTTCCACAGTGATTCATCCTGTACTGCAGGACCGCTCCCCACCTCAGATGGCAGTTGCCACTGAGATGCCCTGATTATCCACCATGTTTGTTCATCTTACATTCAAATTCCAAAGTCCTCACAACCCACAAATACTTCAGGGTTGAGAGTTCCCAGACTGACTCTCAGGCCTCAGGAACAGTCTCCATACTGGTTTAGGATACAGGTGTTTGGCTCAGGACCCGCAAAAGGATGCAGCACAGGCTGAGGGGTGGGAGGTGCAGGGGCTCCTGAGCCCTGTCCATGTGCGGTCCTCCCAGCACCTCCGTGTTTCCCCAACAGGGAGACTCCAGCCTGAAAACCCCGTCTATATTTAGGTTACATTGCGTAGGCAGAACTGATGAAATCCTTGGCTTTAGTGGGGAGGCGAATCTCAGCCCCTCTCCCTGGAAGCCTTGGATCAAACCATGCACTGAGCAGCATAGCTACAACCTTCTGTTAAATAGCCTCGAGTCTATCCAATTCCCTCCGCTCTTCTTTTTCTAGCCTCCCCTAATGTCAAGTGAGGAAAATATGAGGACTTGATGTCCTTCTACCAAGGAAAGCTTGTAACCCTTCTCCTCCCCCCTCCACCTCATCCCCCCACCCCTGTCAACTTTGAAGAGATAAACACAACCATGCTCCTTTCTTCAGGGGTCCAGCAACAGTCAAGTACAAAACAGTCATCTCAATATGGATTTAGCAAACAAACAATCAAAAAACAACACCCCAACCCCTTGTCTTAAGGCAGCCTGCAGACCTAGTCCTCCCCAGGGACACAGTCTACTAGATCAATGACAACAGGACACACCCTCTCACTGAGGAGTCTCTTTTGGCTTCTGGCAGCCTCCCTGCCTGGCCTTTATCTGCACCTGCCAGGACTTTGCTTCACTGACCTCCCTCACAGAGGCCGTTCTCCCCAAGGTCACCTGCCTTGGGCCCATGCAGGCCTCTCAGCAAACCTGTCCCTTTCAGGGCAACTCTTCCTGCCCACTGGTGTCTATGCAAGTGTCTTTCACAGAAGTGTCTTTCTGTCCCTTTCACTAATAAACCTGTTCTTTAAATATAGTGATGTCTCTGCCTCATGGAGAAACTGGCCAGGAAATTCGCTGCATGCCACTGACCAGTAAGCCTAGTGAGACCTTTCCCAGAGTGAACCCAAGTGCCCCCGTGCTCTACAAAATACATCAGGAGGGTGAGGGAGGGTGGGGTGACACCCACTGATCTGTGTCCTCTGAGTCTTCCCTCTCCTGGACCTGGACTCTGGGGTCCCAGCCTTGAGATTGATGCTGACAGGATGTCACCCCCAGGTCTCCTCAGACCTGGCCTGGCCCTGGGCACCAAGTAAGAAGAACAGGCAGGCCTCAAGCAGCCAGAGCAGGAAGTCACCCAGAGGAAAGCACACTGGGGTGTGGCCAGGGGAGCGGAGGGGTCAGGCAGGTCTGCTAAGAGCAAAGATTCAGAGCAGGGCACACCATCAGCCACCTCCGCAGAGAGGCCAGGTAGTGGAATCAGGGATCTCACCATGCTAGGCAGGGATCAAACAGGTGCAGGTACTTCAGAGGTGTCCCCGCCCTAACCTCCATGTAGAGTAGGCTTTCCAGTGAGGTAGGTTTGGGGTGCATTGCAGCTCTCAGAAGGAAATGACAGCAGTCCCGGGGAGCATTGTTTCAGCCACTCCTGAATTTCAAGGTTTTTTGATCCTCATTGCAAATCCTGCCATGTATGAGGGGCACTGAGCTGTGTGTGTTCCAGGCCTGGTGGGCTTTGCAGGCAGCTCAGCACTCAGCCAAACTGAACATTCCCTCAGGAAGCAGAGCTGGGGACACCAGGTGCAAGAGTGACACCTGCTGACACTTGCCTGTTGGGGAATCCTTGCTAGAGCTGTCTGGTTTGACCTCAGCTGGAGGATACAGGCCTGAGGAGCTGCAGCTCAGACCAGCTTGGAAACAGATTCCTTGGTTGGCTATTTCGTTGCCCCGAGCCTCACTTTGCTCACCCTTCAAATGGAACAGGGCTCGGGACCCATGAAATCCAAGTGGCTGGAATAGTTTTATCTTAGACTTCCAGGGTGTGGGGCTGATTTAGACTCTTATTAAGCTAAGGATTTCATCAATCCTTCCTGTGCCATGGTACTTTAAAATTAGAAAGCATTTTCAGGCTGGTGTTTCCTTGTTGGTGAAACACGGAGGTGCAGGAAACTGAACAGCAATATCTGCAACCTTTATTTATATATACTCCATCTATCCAATTCCCTCCTTCTCTTCTTTTTCCACCCTTGCCTACTTGTGCAGTGAAGAAAATATCAATACTTGGTGTCCTTTCTACCAAAATATGCTTTAAACTCCTCTCAACTGTAACATAAATAAATAAACCCACAATATCATCTACTGAGATTCAGCAATGTCTGTAGTGCAATGTACAACATCTCAATAAATACTGAGCAATAAAGCAAACACAGGAACAAAAAAACAATACCCAGGTCACCTTTCTTAAGGCAGCCTGCAGGCCTAGTCTCCTCAGGGACACAAACTTCTATATCATTAACAGGACATACCCTCTCACTGAGGAGTCTCTTTTGGCTTTGGCTCCATTGGACTCTCATTTTAATATGGGTGATGTTAGTCCTAATTTGAATTTGAATGTTAACCTCACTACCTTGTTTGTATATTGAGTTCTTCCAGAAGGAGACTGGGTTCTGTCTTACATGAGGAAAGGACCCATCCTCAAACTCTTTGCCCCTCTCCCTGGAAGCCAACCTTTGTCTTTCTGGTCACCAGGCTCGCGCCTGTACTTCTTGGGCCCAGCCCAGTCATCCTTTAGCATTAAAGCACCCGCCTCACACTCCTGAGATTCCCAGGGTTTTAGTGGCTGAGGTCACAAACCAAGGATTTGTCCATTATCATAAGGGGGCTCCTGGGATTTTGGGTCCACAAATGGGAAGGCCACCCTTGGGGTGGGTAAAGATACTTGGAAATTATATACCAGACAGGAGTTCCTGTCCAAAATATATAAGAAATATAAATCAAAAATCCAACTAAAATCAATAAATTGGATAGACATTTTCAAAAGCAGGTATGCAAACGATCAAGATCACGAAAGGGTGCTCAGTATCACTAATTATCAGGTAAATGCAAATTAAAAGGCAAAATGAGAGACCATGTCACCCTTGTCTGCGAGATTATGACCAAAAGTCAAGAGGTAAGCAATGCTGAGCCAGCAGGGAAGAGGGAACGGGTGGGGATCTCTCAAAGCAACAGCTAGTGCAGGAGACATCCCTGCCCAGGAACGTGGATCTGGGTTCCATGGCTCTGTCTCCCAGGGCTTGTGTCCCAAGAGAATGCAGGGGACACCTCAGAAGCCATGTAGGCTCCTCCCCAACCTCTCCTGGGAAAAGGACCCCCAGACAGACACTGCTGGACAAACGTCCTGATCAGGGACCCAGGAAATAGACAACCCTGTCCTGGTTCTCTTCCTGCATCCTGAGCACTGAGCCTCAGCTCTCCCTTGTGGCATGAAGACCTCCACCTCCTGGGGCTGCTGGGAGTAACAACAGCAACACAGCAGTAGCAGCTGTGCTCCTGTGTACTGAGCACCTACTAGGTGTTACATCTGTGTGGAGTGTTTACCCTGGATTCTCTCTGTCACCCTCACAAAGTCCACAGAGGCAGGCTCTTGCTGTCCCATTTCACAGATGGGGACCCTGAGGTGGAGCATCGAAGCGGTAGAGCCAGGAGCCCAGGCAGTGTCTGCTTGGGAGCTGGGCGCGAAATGCAAACCCTCCCTTCCAGGGCCTTTCTGAATGTCAGCCTCCTCCTCTGGCTCTGAGCACCCCTCCCGGGCAGGTGAGGGCACATGGCGTGCTGGGAATGCAGTTGGCAGATGAGGAGTCCTGTAAGAGCTGCCTCCTCTGGTCTGGGAACCTCCCTTGGATAGAGGGGCCCCTGTCAGTGACTATAAGAAGGTTTAGAAGGGTTCAGGGTGGGCCCAAGGGGAGAGGTGGTGGGAGAGCAGAAGAGGACAACAGGCAGAGGGCACTTTGTCTACTCACTTGATTTAGGCACCATAGCTTTTGGGGCATTAGCCAACCATTGCCACTGTAACTTCTTTCGACCCTTCATCTGAGAATTGTGTCTTGGAGGCCGGTGACCAGAATCGAAGTCTTCATCACTCTTTTGTGGCTCATTCTTCGTTATTTGCTTAGCTTCTTGTTGGGTTCTCACTGGGAGAGGAGGGGGTGGAGGGGAGCAAGATCAGGCAGGCAGGGAACAGTGCACCCCTTGACCCCATTCCCCTCCTGCTAAGCTCCTACCCAGCACTCACTAAGAGCCAGCTTTTCACACCCCAGAACCTGCCAGCAGGTGGTGCTGGGGAAGGAGGGAGAGGGGAGTGGTAGAAAAGCCCTAGGAAGGAGGAGCCCAGGGGAGTGTGAGACACTGGACAAGGTCAGGAGATCTGGGTTCTGGGAAGAGGGGGGTCACATTCAGGATGCCTGATGGGAAGGCAGGGTGAGGGATGGGGGTGACACCCACTGATCTGTGTCCTCTGAGTCTTCCCTCTCCTGGACCTGGAAACGTGGTCCTAGCCTTGAGCTTGATGCTGCTAGGTGGTCAAATCAAATTAGCGAACAACAAACAACAACCCAGACACCTGTCTTAAGGGCAGCCTGCAGGCCTATCCTCCCCAGGGACACATCTACTGTATCAATGACAGAAGGACACACCCTCTCACTGAGAAATCTCTTTTGGCTTTGCTGCACTGGACTCTCATTTTAATATGGGTGATGTTAGTCCTGATTGGAATTTGAATGTTAACCTCACTACCTGTTTGTATACTGAGTTCTTCCAGAAGGAGACTGGGTTCTGTCTTACATGAGGAAAGGACCCATCCTCAAACTCTTTGCCCCTCTCCCTGGAAGCCAACCTTTGTCTTTCTGGTCACCAGGCTTGCCCTGTACTTTCTTGGGCCCAGCCCAGTCATCCTTTAGCATTAAAGCACCCTCCTCAGCACTCTGAGATTCCCAGGGTTTTTAGTGGCTGAGGTCACAAACCAAGGATTTGTCTATTACATCATAAGGGGGCTCCTGGGATTTTGGGTCCATAATGGGAAGGCCACTCTTGGGGTGGGTAAAGATATTTTCAAATTATATACCAGAAAGGAGTTCCTGTCCAAAATGTATAAAGACTATAAATCAAAAATCCAACTAAAAATCAATAAATTGAATAGACATTTTCAAAAAGCAGGTATGCAAACGATCAAGATCACGAAAGGGTGCTCAGTATCACTAATCATCAGGTAAATGCAAATCAAAAGGCAAAATGAGAGACCATGTCACCCTTGTCTGCGAGATTATGAACACAAGTCAAGAGGTAAGCAATGCTGAGCCAGCAGGGAAGAGGGAACGGGTGGGGATCTCTCAAAGCAACAGCTAGTGCAGGAGACATCCCTGCCAGGAACGTGGATCTGGGTTCCATGGCTCTGTCTCCCAGGGCTTGTGTCCCCAAGAGATGCAGGGGACACCTCAGAAGCCATGTAGGCTCCTCCCCAACCTCTCCTGGGAAAAGGACCCCCAGACAGACACTGCTGGACAAACCTCCTGATCAGGGACCCAGGAAATGGACAACCCTGTCCTGGTTCTCTCCTGCATCCTGAGCACTGACTCAGCTCTCCCTTGTGGCATGAAGACCTCCACCTCCTGGGGCTGCTGGGAGTAACAACAGCAACACAGCAGTAGCAGCTGTGCTCCTGTGTACTGAGCACCTACTAGGTGTTACATCTGTGTGGAGTGTTTACCCTGGATTCTCTCTGTCACCCTCACAAAGTCCACAGAGGCAGGCTCTTGCTGTCCCATTTCACAGATGGGGACCCTGAGGTGGAGCATCGAAGCGGTAGAGCCAGGAGCCCAGGCAGTGTCTGCTTGGGAGCTGGGCGCGAAATGCAACCCCTCCCTTCCAGGGCCTTTCTGAATGTCAGCCTCCTCCTCTGGCTCTGAGCACCCCTCCCGGGCAGGTGAGGGCACATGGCGTGCTGGGAATGCAGTTGGCAGATGAGGAGTCCTGTAAGAGCTGCCTCCTCTGGTCTGGGAACCTCCCTTGGATAGAGGGGCCCCTGTCAGTGACTATAAGAAGGTTTAGAAGGGTTCAGGGTGGGCCCAAGGGGGAGAGGTGGTGGGAGAGCAGAAGAGGACAACAGGCAGAGGGCACTTTGTCTACTCACTTGATTTAGGCACCATAGCTTTTGGGGCATTAGCCAACCATTGCCACTGTAACTTCTTTCGACCCTTCATCTGAGAATTGTGTCTTGGAGGCCGGTGACCAGAATCGAAGTCTTCATCACTCTTTTGTGGCTCATTCTTCGTTATTTGCTTAGCTTCTTGTTGGGTTCTCACTGGGAGAGGAGGGGGTGGAGGGGAGCAAGATCAGGCAGGCAGGGAACAGTGCACCCCTTGACCCCATTCCCCTCCTGCTAAGCTCCTACCCAGCACTCACTAAGAGCCAGCTTTTCACACCCCAGAACCTGCCAGCAGGTGGTGTGGGGAAGGAGGGAGAGGGGGAGTGGTAGAAAAGCCCTAGGAAGGAGGAGCCCAGGGGAGTGTGAGACACTGGACAAGGTCAGGAGATCTGGAGTCTGGGGGAGGGGGGGTCTCATTCAGGATGCCTGATGGGAAGGCAGGGTGAGGGATGGGGGTGACACCCACTGATCTGTGTCCTCTGAGTCTTCCCTCTCCTGGACCTGGAAACTGTGGTCCTAGCCTTGAGCTTGATGCTGCTAGGTGGTCAAATCAAATAGCGAACAACAAAACAACAACCCAGACACCTGTCTTAAGGCAGCCTGCAGGCCTATCCTCCCCAGGGACACAATCTACTGTATCAATGACAGAAGGACACACCCTCTCACTGAGGAATCTCTTTTGGCTTTTGGCTGCATTGGACTCTCATTTTAATATGGGTGATGTTAGTCCTGATTGGAATTTGAATGTTAACCTCACTTCCTTGTTTGTATACTGAGTTCTTCCAGAAGGAGACTGGGTTCTGTCTTACATGAGGAAAGGACCCATCCTCAAACTCTTTGCCCCTCTCCCTGGAAGCCAACCTTTGTCTTTCTGGTCACCAGGCTTGCCCTATACTTTCTTGGGCCCAGCCCAGTCATCCTTTAGCATTAAAACACCCTCTCAGCACTCTGAGATTCCCAGGGTTTTAGTGGCTGAGGTCACAAACCAAGGATTTGTCTATTACATCATAAGGGGGCTCCTGGGATTTTGGGTCCATAATGGGAAGGCCACTCTTGGGGTGGGTAAAGATATTTGCAAATTATATACCAGAAAGGAGTTCCTGTCCAAAATGTATAAAGACTATAAATAAAAAATCCAACTAAAAATCAATAAATTGAATAGACATTTTCAAAAAGCAGGTATGCAAATGATCAAGATCACGAAAGGGTGCTCAGTATCACTAATCATCAGGTAAATGCAAATCAAAAGGCAAAATGAGAGACCATGTCACCTTGTCTGCGAGATTATGAACACAAGTCAAGAGGTAAGCAATGCTGAGCCAGCAGGGAAGAGGAAACGGGTGGGGATCTCTCAAAGCAACAGCTAGTGCAGGAACATCCCTGCCCAGGAACGTGGATCTGGGTTCCATGGCTCTGTCTCCCAGGGCTTGTGTCCCCAAGAGAATGCAGGGGACACCTCAGAAGCCATGTAGGCTCCTCCCCAACCTCTCCTGGGAAAAGGACCCCCAGACAGACACTGCTGGACAAACCTCCTGATCAGGGACCCAGGAAATGGACAACCCTGTCCTGGTTCTCTTCCTGCATCCCTGAGCACTGAGCCTCAGCTCTCCCTTGTGGCATGAAGACCTCCACCTCCTGGGGCTGCTGGGAGTAACAACAGCAACACAGCAGTAGCAGCTGTGCTCCTGTGTACTGAGCACCTACTAGGTGTTACATCTGTGTGGAGTGTTTACCCTGGATTCTCTCTGTCACCCTCACAAAGTCCACAGAGGCAGGCTCTTGCTGTCCCATTTCACAGATGGGGACCCTGAGGTGGAGCATCGAAGCGGTAGAGCCAGGAGCCCAGGCAGTGTCTGCTTGGGAGCTGGGCGCGAAATGCAACCCCTCCCTTCCAGGGCCTTTCTGAATGTCAGCCTCCTCCTCTGGCTCTGAGCACCCCTCCCGGGCAGGTGAGGGCACATGGCGTGCTGGGAATGCAGTTGGCAGATGAGGAGTCCTGTAAGAGCTGCCTCCTCTGGTCTGGGAACCTCCCTTGGATAGAGGGGCCCCTGTCAGTGACTATAAGAAGGTTTAGAAGGGTTCAGGGTGGGCCCAAGGGGGAGAGGTGGTGGGAGAGCAGAAGAGGACAACAGGCAGAGGGCACTTTGTCTACTCACTTGATTTAGGCACCATAGCTTTTGGGGCATTAGCCAACCATTGCCACTGTAACTTCTTTCGACCCTTCATCTGAGAATTGTGTCTTGGAGGCCGGTGACCAGAATCGAAGTCTTCATCACTCTTTTGTGGCTCATTCTTCGTTATTTGCTTAGCTTCTTGTTGGGTTCTCACTGGGAGAGGAGGGGGTGGAGGGGAGCAAGATCAGGCAGGCAGGGAACAGTGCACCCCTTGACCCCATTCCCCTCCTGCTAAGCTCCTACCCAGCACTCACTAAGAGCCAGCTTTTCACACCCCAGAACCTGCCAGCAGGTGGTGCTGGGGAAGGAGGGAGAGGGGGAGTGGTAGAAAAGCCCTAGGAAGGAGGAGCCCAGGGGAGTGTGAGACACTGGACAAGGTCAGGAGATCTGGGGTCTGGGAAGAGGGGGGTCACATTCAGGATGCCTGATGGGAAGGCAGGGTGAGGGATGGGAGTGACACCCACTGATCTGTGTCCTTTGAGTCTTCCCTCTCCTGAACTCTGGGGTCCCAGCCTTGAGCTTGATGCTGACAAGAGGTGGGGGTTTCAGGTGTTTGAATGCAGGGCATCCTCCCACAGGTCTCCTCAGACCTCACCTGGCCCTGGGACACCAACTGAGAAGAACAGGCCTCAGGCAGCCAGAGTGGTAGTCAACCAGTGGAAAGCACGCAGGGGTGTGGCTGAGAGTGGAGGGGACAGGGCAGGCCTGCTAAGGGCAAAGACTTGGTCAGGCACCCCCATCAGCCACCTCCACGCACAGGTCAGGGAGTGGAATCAGGGTGCTCACCATGCTGAGCAGGGATCACACAGGTGCAGGCACCTTCAGAGGGATGCCCTGCCCCTAATCTGCATGGAAAGTGTGGGCTTTCCTGGGAGGTAGGTTTGGGGTGCAATGCAGCTCTCAGAAGGAAAGGACAGAAGTCCCAGGGAGCATTGTTTCAGCCACTCCTAGATTTTAGGGTTCCCGAGCCCCATTGCAAATCCTGCCATGTATGAGGGGCACTGAGCTGTGTGTGTTCCAGACATGGTGGGCTTTGCAGGCAGCTCAGCACTCAGCCAATCTCAACATTCCTCCTGAATCAGAGCTGGGGACCCCAGGTAGAAGAGTGATACCCGCAGACCCTTGCCTGTTGGGGAATATTGCTGGAGGTGTCTGGCTTGACCTGGGCTGGAGGAAGCCAGGCCTGAGTAGCTTTAGCTCAGACTTGCTTGGACACAGATTCTTTGGGTGGCTGATTCATTGCCCTGAGCTTCCCTTTGCTCACCTGCCGAACAGGTTATCTCCGGTAAGCCAAGAGGTAAAAATTCAGTAAAAGCTCATAGAAACCTTTAAACATTTTGCATGATTACTTCTATTTTTAATGGACAATACGCACTGCAGGACATTCTGAGAGTCAGATTGACCAGGAGCTGAAAGGGTTTCCATAAAGGAGGGATGTGTCAGGAATTAGAGCCTCCATGGGGAACACTTCCTCTTCATGTGTAGAGAATTTATTCTGGAAGAGGGGTTTGGGTTTTTATCTCCTGACACCAGCTCTCTGGGACACCTGCTGGGTGTCCTATAACTCAGGTCAACACTGACATGAACTCCCCAGACTCAGCATAAGACCTAGGATTTCAACAGGGCTTCATCCTGTACTGCAGGACCGCTCCCCACCTCAGATGGCAGTTGCCAATGAGGTGCCCTGATTATCCACCCTGTTTGTTCATCCTACATTCAAATTCCAAAGTACTCGCAGCCCCACAAATGCTTTCAGGGTTGATAGTTTCCTAGACTGACTCTCAGGCCTCAGGAACAGTCTCCTTACTGGCTTAGGACACAGGTGTTTGGTTCAGAATCCGCAAAAGGTGTAGCACAGGCTGAGGGGTGGGAGATGCAAGAACTCCTGAGCCCTGTCCATGTGCGGTCCTTCCAGCACCTCCCTGTTTCCCCAACAAGGACACTCCAGCCCGAAAACCCTTTCTACATTTAGGTTACATTGTAGCCAGAACTGACGAAATCCTTGGCTTTAGTGGCGATGCAAATCTCAGCCCCTCTCCATGGAAGCCTTGGATCAAACCATGCACTGAGCAGCAATAGCTACAACCTTTTGTTAAATAACCTCCAGTCTATCCAATTCCCTCCGCTCTTCTTTTTCTAACCTCCCCTAAGTGTCAAGTGAGGAAAATATGATTACTTGATGTCCTTCTACCAAGGAAAGCTTGTAACCCTCCCCCTTCCCCCACCCCTCACCTCTCACCCCTGTCAACTTTGAAGTAATAAACACAACCAGGCTCCTATCTTCAGGGGTCCAATAATAGTCTAGTACAAAGTACAGTCATCTCAATGTAGATTTAGCAAACAAACAAAGAAACAGAAAAACAACACCCCAACCCACTTGTCTTAAGGCAGCCTGTAGGCCTAGTCCTCCCCAGGGACACAGTCTACTATATCATCGACAACAGGACACACCCTCTCACTGAGGAGTCTCTTTTGGCTTCTGGCTGCACTGGACTCTCATTTAACGTTGGATGGGATTATTCCTGATTTGAGTTTGAATTTAACCTTACTTCCTTATTTGTATACCGAGTTCTTCCAGAGGAGACTGGTTTCTGCCTTATATATGGAAAGGACCCATCCTCAAACTCATAGCCCCTCTGGCTGAAGCCAACCTACGTCTTTCTTGTCACCAGGCTTGCCCTGTAGTTTCCTAGGGCCCAGCCCAGTCACCGGTTAGCTTCAAAGGACCCTCTAAGCATGCCAGCGGTTCTGGGGATTTTAGTGGCCGAGAACCCAAATCCAATGTTTTGTGTATCACATCATCAGGGGGCTCCTCAGGCTTTGGGTCAACAAAATGAGAAGGCCACCCATGGAGTGGGCAAAAATATTTTCCAATTATATGCAAGATAAGGAGTTCATGTCCAAAATGTATATAAAATCTAACTCAATAATCTCATTAAAAATCAGTAACAGACTCGAATACACATTTTCGACAAGCAGATATGCAAATGACCAAGTACAGGAAAAGGTGCTCATTATCTCTAATTATCAGATAAATGCAAATTAAAAAGCAAAATGGGAGCCCCTTTCACACTTGTCTGCAAGATTATGAACAAAGGTCAAGAGGTAAGCAGTGGTGAGCAGCACGGAGGAGGGATCGTGGTGGGGGTCTCCCCAAGCAGCAGCTGGTGCAGGAGACCTCCCTGCCCAGGAATGTGGTTCTGGGTTCCATGGCTCTGTCTCCTAGTGTTTGTGTCTCCAAGACAGCGCAGGGGACATCCCGGAAGTCATTGCTGGCCCCTCCCCCAACACCTCCTGTTGCTCATGGGAAAACCAGCCCAGACAGACACTGCTGGACAAACTTATGATCTGGGCCCAGGAAATACACACCCTGTCCTGGGTTTGTCTCTGCCTCCTGGTGTGAGTCTCTACCCACTCTGAGCCTCAGGTCTCCCCATGGCATGAAGAGCCTCCACCCCCCAGGGCTGCTAGAGCAACAGTAGCAGCAACAACAGCAGCAGCAGCAGCATCTGGACTCCTGTGTCCTGAGCACCTGCTGGGTGTTAGATCTGTGCCCAGTGTTTACCGTGGGTTCTCTCATCCACAGTGTCCACAGTGCAGGCATTTGCTCTCCCATGTCACAGATGGGGACCCTGAGGTGGAGCAGGAAAGGGGTAGAGCCAGGAGGCCAGGCTAGTGTCCTTTTGGGAGCTGGACGGGACACCTACCCCCTCCCTCCCAGAGCCCTTCTGAATGTCAGCCTTGTCCTCTCTGGGCTCTGAGCACCCCTCCCGGGCAGGTGAGGTCACATGGGGTGCTGGGAATGACCTGGCAGATGAAGAGTTCTGTAAGAACTGAGTCCTGTGGTCCGGATTCCCCATTGCATAGACTGGGCCTAAGTCACTAACCTGAAGAATGCTTAGGAGGATTCTGGGGTGGGGCCCAAAGGTGCTAGGTGGTAGGGAGAGCAGAAGATTGACATTAGGCAGAGTGCACTTTGTCTACTCACTTAAACAGGAACTTACCAACTAGGCCTGACCTTTCCAATGTTTTCAGATAGTTACGTCCCTTCTTTTCATCTTTTTTCTTCTTTTCTTTTGATGGAGGAAAAAAAAAAAAAAACAAAAACACTAAGCAAATCGTTGTAGTAACAGTCCCCATCAGATAATCATTTCAATCCAGGTGTAATTAGCATTCCAGTGTAGGTGCAATGAGCAAGTTTGCACACTTGCAAATCTTCCCTGTGAAGGATCCATGGCCAGGTCTCTACACCCCTCTCCAGACAAAGCTGCATTCCAGAAGGAAAGGAGAGAGAGAGGAAGACAGGCTGGGTTTCTTTGAATAATCTCTGGGTGGTGGCATCCCTCTCACCCACTTCCTATACTCTGCTTTTTAGGGTGAAATGGCCTTGCCTCCCACCAAATGGTTTTGCCCCTTTTAAACCAATCTGTCACTCTTCCTGTGTAACAAATGTTGAGACAATTGTGTATAAAAAGGAATCTCTGGGCCTCCCCGGTGGCGCAGTGGTTGAGCGCTGGGTTGCGAAGCTGCCTGCGGCCTCTGCAGCGCCGGTTCGATCCCCGGCTGCTCCCCGGCCACCGGAGGAGGGTCCCGCATGGCGCGCAGACCTCTCCTGCCGCCCGCTGCTCCCCTCAGCAGTGTACTTCGGTCCTTCTGCCTGCTCTGCTCCCCGCTCTGGCTCTGGTGAATTCTCTCGCCCTCCCGCGCTTCTGACTGTACCCAGTGCTTGTATAAATAAATAAAAATAAATCTTTTAAAAAAAAAATAAAAAGGAATCTCTGCGTTAGCTCAAGGCCCAGACTTTTATTTAGGAGTGTTTTCCTGTGTCTGCGTCCACATGTGAGAAAATATAAATTTCCCAACTCACCTGCCCTAGAGTACAGTTTGTTTTTTCCTGTCAGCTTCCGCAACAAATTAGTGGGTTGTTCAGGAAAACCAGGCACTTCGCCCTTTGATGCCACTTGGGCCTAGGAGGAGGGCTGGTGGAGGTGGTGAGAGGAACTAAAGAAGGGGAAATCGGGCTCTGCTGGGAACTCTGGGGGTCTCCGACTTGGTTGCTTTTACCCAGACCCGCAACCTTGTCCAGGCCAGACTTAAAAGTGCTGAATGAGACCAGGACCTGGCACCGACGTCAGACAAGGTATGGTCCCGGTACCCTGTACCAACTCAGGCTACCCCGTAGGGGTAAGAGGAGAGACTGATCACCTTTCAAGAGATTTAGGGTCTCCCAGGCAGGGAACTCCCTAAAGAGGGAGGGAGTTGTTGCAACCTCTGGTGTGGAGGTGTGAGTGAATGATCTGGTCCTCCAACCAGGTGTGTTTGTGTGACCCCACAGCTGGGGAGCCCATAAGGGCCCCAAAAAGCTATGGAGCGCAAATGGGCCAGTCTGAGATACTGCTGTGAACATGATACAGTTACAAATGACTGGTCTCTTAGAGAGGCATTAACAAGTTTGTCTTTTCCCCATTTCTTGCAATTTCCCCCTTGATTGACAGGTTTGTCTTTAGGTAACAAGTCCTCCTGCATTTCAAGAAAGAGGGTGTTGAAGTAAGCTGGCGCCCTCCTGCTGACCCCTTCCCCCTTCCCTTAAGAAGAAAAATGATGACTGGATCAAGGGATATGGTACATATACACAATGGAATATTACTCAACAATCAAAAAGATAAACTCATGCCATTTTCAGCAACGTGGATGGAGTTGCAAGGGATCATGTTCAGCGAAATAAGCCAGAAAGAAAAAAAAATACTGGATGGTCTCACTTATAGCAGGAACAGATGAATGTATGGAGAAACTGTGGAATATATATTCAATGGAATATTACACAGCTATGAAAGGATGAAACAGTGACATTTAGGACAAAATGGATGGACCTTAAGGTGACTATGTTGAGTGAATTAGTCAAAAGACAGTGAAAGATGGATTCTCTCATCTGTGGAATATAAATACCCAAAAAACAATTTGATGCAAACAAAAGAAGAAATAAAAATTTGAGCTTTGCAAGGAGAAGATCATGGTTACCAGAGAGAATAAAGGAATGGGTGGAAGAGGTGGGGGTAGGAGGCAAAAGTTGTATGGACATGGGTGGTTTGGTGGAGGGAAAAAAAGAGAATTCATTAAAATAATTTTTAAAAGTGTTGTTAGCACATCATTGCTTTTATAGTACACTGTACTTGTTTGAATATTTACATTTGGGCCTCCTTGGTGGAGCTAGGGGTTAAGCACAACACTGTGAAGCTATCTGCACCCTCTGTAACACGAGTTCGATCCCTGGCCAGCCAGGGAGCTACCCACATGGCACAGCAGACCTCTCCTGTCTTGCCTGCTGCCCCCCTCAGCAGTGTATTTTTGGTCAGTCTGCCTGTTCTTTTCCCTGCTCTGTCTCTGGTGGATGTTCTCACTCCCCGCACCTCTGGCCTGTACCCCAGTACTTGCGTGCATAAAGAAATAAATCTTTAAAAAAAAATTTACATTTGGCGCTAAAAAAAAGAAAAAGAAAAAGAAAAATGAGCTGACATCCACCTGTCTCAAAGCTGACCCCTTCGCAGACACTCGCCCATCTCCCCCTCGGTTAAATACCCCTGCACTCTGCCAAAGAGCCGGAAGGTTGTCTTTCAAAGATGAGTGATTTGTCGACAAATTAAATCACTTTCCTTTTCCTGAAACTCTGTTTCCTTTTATTGGCTGATGGAAACTGATTCCAGCATTTGGTAACAACTCCACACCCTTAACTCCAAAAAACGACATCAACATCTTGTCCTGACAGAGTTTCGCCCGGCAACCATAGCAGCCACTGCTTTTCTGCTCTAATAAAACCTCTTTTACTGCAGATCCACTGCTCATCGTTTCCTTTCAACTCTGAACCTTTCCATTCCGTGGTGAAACCCCAGAGAGGAGCAGGGCCATGGGCCCCATCCTCAGATGTGGAGACTCTATCTCCTTTTCTCACCTTCTTTCTCTATACTTTGGGGCTCTGGTCACGGAAGACCCTTGCTGGTGCCAACAACCACATCCATGACCAATTGGGTGAGTGGCCTCTGGGACACTCCTCTGCCCTTTGGACAGGGGATGTAAGAAAAGGGCTGGGGCAAGGTTGGGGCAGGAAAGGGGAACTTGAAACTGTTGCCACCCCCATTCTGGGAGTTAGCCAGTTTGCATTGGGTCTGATAAGCATCCCTGAAACACAATTTTCCGAAAAAAAAAAAAAAAAAACAAAAAAAAAAACGACTTCGGCTCTGCATTCTCAATTCCTGCCAAAGCCAGACCCAGCCTGATAAAAACTTACCCTTATCCCCCAACGGGTGCAACTTCTGTGACCCCCATGGAGGTAGGCAAACCTCGCCCGGGAGCGCAATAAAGTTCCTGCCTGTCAGACACTGGCCTGGCTCTCCTTCGGATCCTTTCTTGCTCTCACGGAAAAGACCAGGCCAGGGCCATGACTTGGCGGGATCCGCGTCTCCGCACCCACATTTTGATCTCGCCCACTGTGGTTTGGTGTTTGTCTCAGGGATGCCTGATTCATCTCCAGACTCACGTTCCTTTTCCCCCAAGTAAACCAGAGGGACACGTCTTTCACCCGGTGGAACACGTTAATCCCTTTCCATGGGTAATAGATGGGGATGCACCTCTATCTCCCCGTGCAACACATTCCAGGGCAGTCTCACTGGGGGACACCTCAGGCGCCTGCTCCTGGCACATTTCTCTTCCCTTGCCTTTTGGCCTGGTCAACCCACATGTCCAATGGGAAATTCCAATTCAAAACCCTCCTCTGACTCCCCCTTGGGTTGTCTCCTAAAATCCTTCCAGGCACAAGGCCTGCAGGGTAACCTCTATCCATGCCATCATATTGATACAGTTACATAGCTGCCCCTTCTTACCACCTCTCTTCTCTGCGGCAGCCTACCTGCCTGGCCTTGACCTCTACCTGCAGGGAGTTCTCTTCACTATCCTCCCTCAGCGGAGGCCCTGTCCTCAAGGTCTCCTGCCTGCAACCATGCAGGCCTCTTTCATTGTGCACCTGTCCCTTTCAGGGCAGCTCTTCCTGCCCGCTGGTGTCTATGTAAGTGTCTTTTACCCTTCTCTCCCTTTCCCTAATAAACCTGTTCTTTAATTATGTCTAACATTTCTCTCTCATGGAGAAATTGGCCAGGAAACTCGCCGCGTGCTGCTGAATGGTAAGCTCCTGTGAAACCATTCCTAAAGTGAACCTTTAACACGGTGGTCCTAAGCAAAGGAGGAGGTTCCTTTTTCCTTCCCACCCAAAAGGAAGGTGGAGCTGAGCAGAGAGAGAAGAAGTTGCAGAGGAGACTGAGGAAGGAAGGAAGCAGGATGGAGAGCCAGAAGGAGACCTGGAGGAGACACATGGAGCCGAGAGACATGTGAAGAAACTATACTTGCCTTTTGGTTGTGGACTGGATGACACAGATTTGGGAGAGAGACCCGTGGGGAGGTGACAATGGCGGTTTTTGTCTTGATTTTGATTTTGCTCTTTTCCCTCCAGACATGTCCGGTTGTTTCTGATTCTTTTCTGTGGATCCCCACTGAAAGATGTTTTAGACCTGTGGCAGGCTTAGGGGCCTTGTTCTGGGCCAATCCCATTTGGATGGACTTTTACCCATGAGGGGACGGGTAACTCTGGCTACTTGATTTAGAAACTCTATTCTTTGCCTTTCCTTATTGTTTCCTGATTGTATGAAAGTTCCTTCCCATTAAAGCCTCATATGTTTTGTGTTGATGTGGTGGATGGCAGAACCTATTTAGAGCAGACAGGTTTACGGGGACTGGGGTACCCCTCTCCCTGCCCTGTAACAAAAAAGGACCCCTTACTCTACAAAAATACATCAGGAGGGAGAGGGGGGTGGGGTGACACCCACTGATCTGTGTCCTCTAAGTCTTCCCTCTCCTGGACCTGCACTCTGGAGTCCCAGCCTTGAGCTTGATGCTGACAAAAGGTGGGGGTTTCTTTTTTTTTTTTTTTTTTTTTATAGAGGCATGCTTTATTTATTTATTTATTTGTTTGTTTGTTTTGTTTATACATGCACTGGGTACAGTCAGAAGCGCGGGAGGGTGAGAGAAC